GTGTTTGAAGGTGAAATTTCACAATACGTGAAGCGCATGTACTCCGACAAACACTTATCAGATTTTCTTTTCGGTTTTTAATTTATATATATATTTTATTAGAGGATGTGAGGATAAGGTTATCACAATTGATGGGTGAATTTCTGTATACTACGAAATAACCTTTAAAAATGTGCACAATGTTTAGGTGGGAGACATGATCTCTAGATTATAAATGATAACTCGATGAAATAGAGTTATTTAGCATATGAAATAGAGTTATTTAGCATATGAAATAGAGTTATTTAGCATACTTTTAGGCTTAGTAATTGTTTATTTTCTCAAGGTAAAATGCCTTAGTGTTAGTATTTTGTATAACATATTTGTTAGTTTTTATTTAGTTGATAGAAGGTTGATATTTGTGGAGCAATCTCGTTATAACATGGATTTAGTCCTCATGTTCAATACAGGTGTGTTGACTTTGGGTAATTAGTGCAGGAAAACAACGGGGCAGTGTTGGTAAAAGCAATTTGAAAGAAAAGCACGGTAAAGGAAGTGAAGGCAGGAACGAACCCGTTGCTGCAGCAAAGCTATAGCAACGCAGATGAAACCAAAAGGTGCAAGCTGGTGCAGTTTGTTTTCATGTACAGCTAGCAGTGGTCCAAATTACCGACTCTGACATGAGGGGACAGCTGTAAGAGTACTAAAGCGGGGACCATCAGTTTTGGCTCTGAGGCAGAAACATGTAATTAGGGTACCTCATCCTGCCCTAGTATAAAAGGAAAAAGAAGAGTACTGACCAGGCAGCCAGAGATAGAGAGGGAGGCGCACAGAATTCTTGGTACGAGCTGAGAAGAGAGAAAAGAAGAGAGTGCATGAGAAATTGTGGGCACTGGTTTCTAGAGCTAGAAGGGGATAGTACATCATAGATACACACCTGTTTTGGCCTCAGATTTTAGCTTAGTCATTTTCTTCATCTTTCTGTATTTACTCTCTGTGAACGAATGAAGCTTTTTATTGTTATTATTTCTGATTTTGTTGAACTAAACATGAGCTAAATTCTTTAGCTAGGATTATTGATGGAACCAAAGTTGCAATGAAGATTTATTTGTTATTCTAATTGCTTGCGTAATCTTCATCCTGTTTATTCAAGTATAATATTGTCTAATTTCTGTTAAGTGACAGGCCATCATTTAGTGAAAAATATAAACTTAACTAATTCTGGAAATGTTAGTTTAGTTAGATCCAGCTTGGATAATATAAGGGAATAGTATAGGAATATATTATTGTCTTGTACAACCTATTAAAATTGGTGCTTAACTTTAGGTTTGGTAAACTAAAGTGCATAGGAATATGTTGGTTTTGGTTTAAGGAACTATAAGCATAGATCTATCGGAAGATATTTATGCATAATTTTAGGTTGACTGGATGAACTTTGCTACAACAATCCTATAGCAAAACGTGGTCAGAGTTGCAACCGAGGGGAAATCAGTAATCCTAGCCTTTACCCATCATTGATTCACAGCTTAGAGCTTAAATCCTGTTGAGTTTTACCACTTGTTTGCATTTCAATCACATACGTTTATTTTACTCATTCATTTTACTTAATCAATATCAATTTGGCATTCGAATCATTCTCGATCACTTTAGCACAATTGGTTTTTGTAATCAATTCTTTATTAACTCAGTCCCTGTGGAGACGATACTTTTACTCATTACTGTATTACTTGTGCGATTACGTGCACTTGCGTAGAGCTATTTTCATACATAGGATTTTATCGCAACAATAAACATGCGTGAAAACTGAAATTTGTGCACTAATAACCGTGCCTTAAAACCATGCTTTGATTGTTAGGTAACATTCTATAAGAACACGTTTGGTTAAAGTCATTTGTGCGCAAAAAAAAAAAAAAAAAACCAAGAAATAAAAAATAACATAACAATGGAAGTCAATGCTCATTACTAGTAGTAATAGTGATTGGGAAAATATTTTTGATTTACTGCCCGTCATGGCGTGTTGTGTAATGCTGGTAAGTGGGGTTATAAGTTGTAATAGGTAAAAGTTAAAAGAAATTTAAGAAGTTCAAAGGAATGGTAGTTCTATTCACACCTTTTTTTTTAGTCTCTGCACCTCCTTAAAATTAAAAAAATTTTATTACAAAAAGGCCCTTAAATAAAATGACTACAGACTTAATTATATAATTAAATTTTATTATGAAAGAGAAACTAAGAGAGTCTTTTTTTCTCTACACACCCCACATATTATATCCCTAAATTATAAACTAGAGGCTTCAACTGCAAGGCATCCCTAAGATTCTATTTTATAAAAAGGATGGATTTTGTCCTCTCGACAGAAGGGCTGTGGTTTCTAAGTCGAGGCATTTCATCATTCACTAGTAGTGAGAGCTAAGCTTCCCTTTGTTCTTTGGTCCCAGGGCAAAAGCAGTCCTTACGCCAACTAGTAGGGCGTCCTGTGGAGATGTTGAACCAGTCCAATCGGTAAAGGTAGAATTCGTTTCCTCATTATCAGCCAAGCGGCTGGGAATGAAATGAGAGCGCCTCACTCGTTCTCTTTCTGTGATTCGGTCACGGTCGCAAGTGAAGCTTCTGGAATGTCTGTCTTTCTTTCTCGTCAAACTGGCAGGAACCAAGCATTGATTTCATCCTGTCGAAAGATCGTCTTTATTATTCTCATATATTTCCCTTTAAAAGATGGAAAAGGTGTTGATACGTCCTATCCACATAGAAAGCTTACAATCTTCCACGCATTACCGGTGGATGCTAGAACTGCTATCACTTTGGCTGCAGGAGGGGAATGGTTAAGTGAAACTCTCGACGTCTTTTTTGACGGGGAGGCCTCCGTTGATTGTGTACGAACAAAATACGAGTCCAAAGGCAGGGGAAGAAAGGGTTTAGTTAATGGGGATATTAACTCTTCCGGGAACCAGTAACGCGTAAACCATGTCAAACCAAGACCGATCAATATCCGAACGGAACGGATTCAAACTTCTCCTAGAATAGTTTCCGGTGCGAAATGAAATTCATAGGATATATATGAGTAATTCAAAGGAGAAATATAAATATTTGATAGGATTTGATTCATTTTAATAATGAAAAAAAACTAGTCGGATTTATTATGTATAAAAATTTCATCACTACATCGAAGGCTTTTTTTTTAAAATATATTGATAAGATAGCTTGGTACCCAAACTGTATCAATGATTGTGATCCTCATCGTGTACATAATTCGTCTTAGGATCTACCAAAGAAAATTTTTAGGTATAAAGCATATAACAAAAGAGTTTTCATTTCTATCAGTCATAAAATCAAAAAAGAAAAAGCAGACAGGAACAATTTGATTCTCTAAGCAAGCAGGTTTTGGGTTAAATCTTTTGACCAATAAGGAAGGCAGTTTGGAGGAAAAACCCACATAAAATCGGTCTCACTGACCATCTGCCACTACAAATTTAAAATAACTTCTATGAGTAATCAAGTAATTGATATCCTCTCCATCATTCTTACCCCCTCTTGTTTCTTGCGAAATTTTATTGGCAAGGACGCTTCTGATTTAGCATCATTGTTTTCTTTGTTGCACGGGGGCGGTTTGGAACTTCTTTTGTAGTGATAAAAATTTTTTGGTCTTTAATTCTTCATTGAATCATTAAATCTCTTTCTACTGAATCATTAAATCTTTTATATTGATAAGGATTTTCTTCCTAACTTAATGGTTTATGGGTGCAGAATCGACAAAAAATGTTTACCATAGAATTCATATCCTTTCACAGTAATTTTAATAGAATCGTGTGATAGACATCATCTTATCTTTTACACAATCTTCCTTTACACCATATGTGGCAGTCTTTTTTACCACAAATATAAATTTCAATCCTCTCCGTTAACTAAAAGCTGTACATGGCCCCTTCTTAAAATTTAGGTGGCTAGATATTCAAACACATGCATCACATGGTTTATAAGACATGATATATCTATATATGTATATGTATACAATTGTGGCTTTTAATTTGATATCGACACCTTCATATAATTTAATTAGGTTCCTCTCATACAATAACCGTTTTCGCATTCAACTATTGCACCCTCTTTTTTACCAGCTAATAATATTCTTCAGCTTTATGGAATTTGTACATACTGTCTTTTTTATCAGTTAATAATCTTTTCCTTTTTCATAACAACCTTGAATGCAAAATTATAACTGGAAATTTTGGAATTTAAGAGTTCATTGGTAAAAGAAAAAAAAGAAAAACAAATGGAAATACAAGCAAAATTGTGTAATATACCTTATCTTAGTCAATAATTGATTTTGATGTTTAAAATTAAGAAAAAAGGCAGCTTCCAAAAATGACACACAAACTCATTTTGAGGGTGTTTTGGATAAAACTGTAAGTAAAGTTTTTTATTATTGTTACTCATTTTTTTTTATTTTCCTATTTGAGGGTTGTCTTCTTATTTTTGGGCTCAAAATCGAGGCTTGATCTTGAAATGGTATAGGTTTGTGTATCAAATCTAATTTGAAGGTACACATTTGAGGAGATAAAAAAATACAGGTATAGTTTTTTAATAATTCTAAAATATAAGGAGAAGAAAAGGTAAATATCCCTTTTTTCTAATCATGATCGAGACTATAATTAAGGTTCCAAATCTAATTGTTTTATATATTCCTTTAAAAAAAATTTATTAGGTATATTCTATGTTCTTAAAAGCCTATTGCGCAAATAGCATTAATTCGATTAAGCACGAAGTACACTTATTTGAACAATAATTTTGGGGCGAAATTTCATAATACGATGCAGAAAATTTACTGACCGTAAACATAGGAATTAGGATAACAAATGTATAGTCCGTGAGAATTTGTATTCTAGAGGGCTAACCTACCAATTGGTTGGTGGGAGAAATCTCCATGCTAAAAACATGCATAATTGGTACGTAACATTGTGAAAGGTCTCTAGCTAGTCTATAAATACAAGCTTTGTCATGGACATTTCTACACAAAAATCCCAAAAATAACAAAAAATGGAAGCTATTTCTTTAGTCACAGTGTTCCTCCTTTTCCTTTCCTTCACAACGAGAGGAGACTCCGCCAGGCCCGGCCTTGGCGTTCTCCCGCCTGCAGTCGTTGATAGCTCGGGAAACGAACTCCTAAAGGGCAAATACTATGATTTGGTGGCTTGGCCTAATGTTCCGCTGCCATTAATATACGTCTCCTCCATTTCACCACTCGTAGAAGAAATGGAACCTGTTGGGTTCAACACAAAGTCGAATTATTTACGATCGCGACACCGAGTCTTCCGGTAAAATTCTTCCCTATCCCACCGGACCAAGAAGACGAAGTTATCCGAGAGTCCACATTTCTCAACATCCAATTCTCTGACGCCGCTGTATCACACGTATGTGGCGACTCATTGTGGAAGGTTATTAATCGTCCCGACCAAGTTTTCGGACAACAATTTGTGGTTGTTGGTGACAACTCGGGCTTCACCAGGCCCGGTTGGTTTAAATTTGAAAGAAACTCCGAACATCCTCGGCGTGATTACAAGCTTCTATGGTGCCCTGTCTATGTGGTGGATCAATATGTGCGCTCATCAGATGATTGCCAAACCATTGGAATCTTTGCTGATAGCGATGGAATTGAGCGTCTGACTCTAGCTGATACTTCAGTGCCATTTGGATTCAGGGCCTACGTAGGACCACAGAGTGATCAGCACTTGAAAATGAGTACTTCTAATGCTTAATTTTCGAAATGAAACTTTGCTTCTTCCGTGTTGTAATGCATCTAATATCATTAGATTTAGATGCTAACTATGTATGTACCTAAAATAATGAATTACTAAATAAGGAAGAAGGTGGTCTTTTAGTGTTAAACTAAACATTATTGATGTGTGATATTTTGCAACTTTTGTACATTATTTACTTTTTTTTTTGGTTGATTGAAAATAGGAAAGAACGTATTTTAAAGCAAGATTCAAGACAATACAAACATCAAAATTGACTCGTACCAAAGTACAAGAAAAAAAATTATGATCCGAATGCTCAAGAGAAATAAACATATACGTATTAGGTTTTGAAATTAGGCACCTAAATAGGTACGTCAATGATCAAACCACTGAAAATAAAAAATGAGACAAACAAATCGCTAAATAAGGTTACGACCACTGTTAGTACAAGCAAATTTGAAAATACAAAGAAAAACTAGACAAAAATCCGAGCATAGTAATTAGGAACTCTAGCCATGAGATGACCGGCGAAATAAATTATATTTGAGAAAGCATCAGACCTCAGGAGATGGAAAATGTTGTCAAAGTGTTGTAAATTCAATACAAATTGTGCAACTAAACATTTTTCGACGAATTAAATTAGGAGACTCTTTGTAAGAAAAACTTTTAGCTGGGGTAAAAATGAATGGAGCCTATCGGGCTAGTAGGGAGTGGTTGCGTCTATATTATATTCATCTACAGTTGACATTATTTACCGTCTGATTATATCGTTATATTTATCTATGCTCGAGCTCGACGAGTTCTAATTCAAAACGTTGTTAGCTTTACCCTATTCAAAAGAATCAAAACTGTTATTGGGATCAAAATTAAAAGCAACTGCTATTTTGGTAAGAGCATCTCCCAACACTGACCGCGGGATTTTCCATTACAGGTAATATGTTGTGAAAGCTTTGAGAGAGGTAATAGATAAAAATTTCTTATTTGTTTTATTTGGTTTGTTCCTGAACAAATTACTTTTATTTATTTATTCCAATAAACAAAGAAGTGGAATGATTATTATTTCTGTTGCAATATAATAATTTAATTGATCGATTACGTAGATTTGATGAATTGTGTGATATTATCCAAAAGAAATATTATGAACATTTCTTCAATAGAAGAAAATCAAATTATATATGAATACGACATACACATTTTAGGCATGTTGTACGTAGATAAGTACTGACGGGCTCTATGTGCAATGAACTAGTTGGACCACTACTGACCTTGACACCTTATTATAGCTGTTGTCTTCTACATAGATGGATAAAATCTAACATTATTTTTTATACTATTAGTATTTAAAAGCGGCTAAATAAACAAAAAGTCATTTTTACTTTTTGAGATAAAAATCAATGTTCAAAATCTACTTACTATCGATATGGTAATCTCTATTCTCATTCTTATCCTTACTAAAATATATATATATATATATATATATATATAATATCTGTATATCTGTACATACATATAAAAGGAGAAAAGGTTTTTTGAGAGCATTATCTGTGCATACATATATAATATCTGTATATCTGTATATCTGTACATATATATAATATCGGTATATCTGTATATCTGTATATATATAACATCTGATTACCTTTGTGCATACACCTAAAATCATCAAAACTTGTTTCCCTAAGGATCATCATGCATGCATAATATAAGTCCTATTCTGTAGCCATTGGACGAGAATTGCTTTGGTAAAATCCTCACCCTTGATGAAACAATAAATCATAAATGCTTTATTATTCAGCTACTTATTGACAAAGTAAATTTTTGGGACACCCCATATCTCATAATTTGTTTTTTACATCACATGGAATCTTGCTTCTGAATTAATGATCTATTATTTATAGAAAAATGATATGTAGCCTCATTCCTACTCAAAGTTTACTCCTGTAGAATTGACGTTTGTCTGTGGATCACAATTTTTCGTATTTTAGACTTATAAAATTTTAATACCTTATGATGGAATTAAAGTCCCCTTGGAACAAATAGTAGTGCATATACTTTCGATTTTATATGTATATATATTTTGTTATAGTAAAGGTAAGTGCACCATTTTATACCTAGCTTTTATGCGCTCCCTTTTAAAATTTATGTGGCTAAATATTCAAATACATGCATCGCATGGTTTATAAACATGGTGTATGATGATCTTGCCATTATTATTTGTTATATGTATTTACATGTACAAATATGTGCTTATTAGATATAATTTTAGTTAGCTCCCTCGTGTATGTATTTAATAATACAATAACCTTTTCCTCATAAAATTAGTGCACTTGTACCCTCTTTTTTATCAGCTAATAATCTTTTCCTCTGTTAATAATAACTAAAATGAAATATTATACCTGGAAATTTTGGGAAGTTACATTAAATTAACAAAAAATAGAAAAACAAATAATGGCAATTCAAGCACAATTTTTTGAAATCTAATAAAAGCCTGCCTAACAGAGTCCAACGTAGAAAAATCCCAAAACAATTGAAAGAAAAAAAGGAAGATTCGGACCGAAAATTAACCAATAAAAGAAGAAATAAATTAACAAGCATAGTTTGGAACATCTAAATCCTCCATAAACAATACCAATAGAACATAAACCCTATAGAAAATTATTGAAAAATAAGCGGACAAAAATTCACCAAATCTTGAAAAAACCAAACCTTATCAAGAACAATGTCAAGAATAACATAGAAAAGAATTAAAACATTGAAAACTAATCAAACTTGGGAAAAAAATATAGTATAAACAAACAAAAAAAAGGAAGAGTAAAGGAGTATAAACAAACATTCGTTTCGCCATCGAAAGCATATAAAACAATTATTGCATACACCTACCTTATCAATAAAAAAGATAAAGGATTAATTATAAAAATTCACCCCAACTATGACCCTTGTAACATTTTACCTCTCGAACTTTAAAAAGTAATATCCGTTCCTCCCGAACTTTGTTCCATCACTCATTGTAATAGAAGTGGCAAAATTATTAACGGAACAAAGTTTGAAGATGACGGATGTTATTTTTTAAAATTCGGAGGGCAAAGTGTTACAAGGGTCATAGTTCGTAGGAAATTTTTGTAATTAATCCACACACAAACTAACTCAAGATTGAAAATTTTCACAATTTCCGAAATCCTTCAATATTCTAAACTCCAAACAACGAAAGATCTACAGTGGATAAATCATAAAAAAAGTTAATTTCTTTTAATAAGAGCGACATTATAATAATCAATGTCCCACATCTAATTATTTGATTTTTTTTAAAGAGTATTTTGAAATAGTATTTGTTAAACTTTTTTAAATTTAATTGACGGATTAAAGAAGTTATTTCTATACCACCACACTAATTTCAATGAAGCACGCACACTTGTTGTTTGAACAATAATTTTAGGGTGAAATTTCATAATTTTACTCTATTGTACGTGATGTAAATTTGTCCCAAACATTAAAACGTGCACAATGGGTAGGTGGGAGGAATTTCCAAACTAAAAACATGCATAATATTGGACACGTAATATTGGGACTGAATCTTTATCTATAAATACAAGCTTTTTTTTTTCTTCGGAAATTCTATAAATACAAGCTTTTTCAGCGTCATTTCTACACAAAAAAAAAAAAAAAAAAAGCCAAAAATAACGCAAATGGAAGCCACCACTTTATTCACATTGTCCCTCCTCCTCGTTTCCTTCACGACAAAAGGAGTGTCTGCCAACCCTAATGGCATTCTGCCTCCTGCAGTTGTTGACGTTTCAGGGAATGAACTCCGAAAGGGCGAATATTATCATTTGATTGCTTGGCCTTCAAGGCCGTTGCCACTAGGACTTGTCACCTCCATTTCACCACTCGTAAACCGTAATGGAACCTGTTGGGTTCAATACAAAATTGAAAGATTTGTAATTGGTCCACAACCAACACCAAGTATTCCAGTAAAATTTTCGCCCATCCTACCCGACGAAGACGAATTTATCCGAGAGTCCACATTTCTCAACATCCAGTTTCCTGATGCCGCTGTATCATACGTATGTGGCGACTCATTGTGGAAGGTTATTAATCGTCCCGACCAAGTTTTCGGACAACAGTTTATCGTTGTTGGTGACAACTCAGGCTTCACCAGGCCCGGTTGGTTGAAAATTGAAAGATACTCTGAACATCCTCTGCGTCAGTACAAGCTTCTATGGTGCCCTGTCTATGTGTTGGATCAATCTGTGCTCTCATCAGATGATTGCCAAACTATTGGAATCTTTACTAATAGCGATGGAATTGAGCGTCTGTCTCTGGCTGATACTTCGGTGCCATTTGCATTCAGGGCCTCCGCAGAACCACAGAGTGATCAGTACTTGAAAATGAGTACTTCTAATGCTTAATTTTCAAAATGAAACTTTGCTTCTTCCGTGTTGTAATGCATCTAATATCATTAGATTTAGATGCTAACTATGTATGTACCTAAAATAATGAATTACTAAATAAGGAAGAAGGTGGTCTTTTATTGTTAAACTAAACAGTATTTGATGTGTGATATTTTGCAACTTTTGTACATTATTTACTTTTTTTTTTTGGTTGATTGAAAATAGGAAAGAACATATTTTAAATCTTGATCAAGACAATACAAACATCAAAATTGACTCGTACAACCTCAAAGTACAAGAAAAAAAATTATGATCCGAATGCTCAAGGGAAATAAACGTATACGTATTAGGTTTTGAAATTAGACCCCTAAATAGGTACGTCAATGATCAAACCACTGAAAACAAAAAACGAGACAAACAAATCGCTAAAGAAGGTTAACACCACTGTTAGTACAAGCCAATTTGACAATACAAAGAAAAACTAGACAAAAATTCAAGCATCGTAAATAGAAACTCTAGCCATGAGATGACCGGCGAAATAAATTACATTTGAGAAAGCAGCAGACCTCAGGAGATGGAAAATGTTGTCAAAGTGTTGTAAATTCAATACAAATTGTGCAGCTAAACATTTTTCGACGAATTAAATTAGGAGACTCTTTGTAAGAAAAACTTTTAACAGGAGTAAAAATGAATGGAGCCTATCAGGCCAGTAGGGAGTGGTTGCGTCTATATTATATGCATCTACAGTTGATATTATTCACCGTCTGATTATATCGTTATATTTATCTGTGCTCGAGCTTGACGAGTTCTGATTCAGAACGTTGTTAGCTTTACCCCATTCAAAAGAATCAAAACTGTTATTGGGATCAAAATTAAAAGCAACTACTATTTTGGTAAGAGCATCTCCCAACACTAACCGTGGGATTTTCCATTACAGGTAATATGTTGTGAAAGCTTTGAGAGAGGTAATAGATAAAAATATCTTATTTGTTTTTTATTTTGTTTGTTCCTGAGCAAATTACTTTTATTTATTTATTCCAACAAACTAAAAAGTGGAATGATTATTATTTCCGTTGCAATATAATAATTTAACTGATCGATTAAGTAGATTTGATGAATTGTGTGATATTATCTAAAAGAAATATTATGAACATTTGTATAAGCACTGACGGGCTCTATGTGCAATGAACTAGTTGGACCACTACTGGCCTTGACACCTTATTATAGCTGTTGTCTTCTATATAGATGGATAAAATCTAACATTATTTTTTATACTATTAGTATTTAAAAGCGGCTAAATAAACAAAAAGTCATTTTTACTTTTTGAGATTAAAATCACTGTTCAAAATCTACTTACTGTCGATATGACAATCTCTATTCTCATTCTTATCCTTACTAATATATATATATATATATATATATAATTTGTATATCTCTACATACATATAAAAAGAGAATAAGTTTTTTGAGAGCTCTATACGTTTCGTTAGTTTCTTTTTTTATATGTTTATTTACCTTCTACCTTCTTTTTTCTTGGTTTGAGTTTCAATCATATCGTTTTTTTATCTGTTTTTTCATTGCAAAGGCAAAGGGCTAAGTAAAAAAAAAAAAAAAGAAATATTGTTTATCCAAAACCTAAAAAGAAACATGCAATTGTTTTTTCATCCGGAAAACCTCTTTCTTTCCTTTTTAACTTTCCTCCCTTTCCCTACGTCTCTTCTTTCTTATAGTTCGCTTTCCCTTATGCGGACTGAAACAAACACCTTTAATCTGACGGCTAATATTGTCTTCTAATTCTTCTTCTTCTTTTTCCTTCTTCTTTTCCTTTTTCAAACCCATTTAAATCATTTCGAATTGCAAAGGCAGTTTGAATGGTTGCTTGGGAGCACAAAAGATTGGAACGTAATTTGAATGAAAAAGAAAGTTCAAACTACTGCTAGTGTAAAAGTTGGAAATCACTCTCCCCTAAATTCATGCATTCCAAGCCTACGTTAATGTTTATACTTGTACGGGGACGTGTAAGCATGACTCTGATCACTGTTCAACGTTTTTTTACTTTCAACTTATAATGTACTGATTACCTTTGTGCATACACCTAAAATCATCAAAACTTGTTTCCCTAAGGATCATCATGCATGCATTATATGTCCCTCCATTATTATTATTTTTTTCATGCCAATATATATAGATTAAATTTCAAGGAAAAACCAACCAGTATTTCTAGTAGAGTGTATACTATTAGTATTTAAAAATGGCTAAATAAACAATACGGAAGTCATTTTTACTAATATAAGGGAATCTCCATTCTCATCCTTATCCTTACTAATATATATATATATATATATATATATATATAATATGTATATCTATACATACATATAAAACGAGAATAGGTTTTTTGAGAGCGTTATACGTTTTGTTAGTTTCTTTTTTATATGTTAAAGAAATATTGTTTATCCAAAATAAAAAAAGAAACTTGCAATTGTTTTTTTCATCCGAAAAACCTCTTTCTTTCTTTTTTAACTTTCCTCCCTTCCCCTATGTCTCTTCTTTCTTTTTTTGTCTCATCTTTCTTTATTTTTATCTCATTTGTCTCATTATACATTTTTCTTTTTTATTAATTCTATTCTCTAAACTGACCCTCATAAATTTATTTTTCTTTTTAGTTTCTCATTTTTGTTTTTATTTTCGTACCTTTTTTTCCTCTCTCTCTCTCTTTTCTTTTTTTGTCTTCTTTTTTTTCATTCTTATCACTTTTGTACTATTATACATTCTTTTTATTCTTTTTTATTTTTCCAAATGAGATATTTATAAATATGTTTTTCATTCTTACCTGCAGAATTTCATATGCGTATAGTCACAGTTTCAACTTGTATAATATAAAAGAGTGAAAGGAACCTATGGTTTGCTTTCCCTTATGTGAACTGAAACAAACACCTTTAATCTGACGGCTAATATTGTCTTCTAATTTCTTCTTTTCTTTTTCCTTCTTCTTTTCCTTTTTCAAACCCATTTAAATCATTTCGAATTGCAAAGGCAGTTCGAATGGTTAATTGGGAGCACAAAAGATTGGAATGTAATTTCTTTTATATGATTTGAATTGTGTGATATTATTTAAAAGAAATATTATGAATATTTGTTCAATAGAACAAAATCAAATTATATATGAATACGACAAACACGTTTTAGGCATATTGTACGTTGATGTGAAATGAATAAGTTGGACCACTACTGGCCTTGTCATCTTATTGTGGCTGTTGTCTTCTTTCATTTGGCGGTATCCAACTCAAAGCAATAAATCCATGTCGTCATTGCTAAATAAATTAAACGTAATCTAGAATATAAGAAAGGGGTAGAAATGTAACCATATGTTAAATACCAATAACGGCCGAAATTAATTAAAACCAAATGATGTGTCTAATTTATACGAGAATTACCTTTAAGTAAAAAAAAAATTCGATTATTCTAAAAAATAATTCCCCTTTTTATTTGACCTATAAAATTTTGACATATCAGATTACAATCCCCTCAAAACAAATAGTAATGCTCATACTTTTATCTTTTTTTTCTTTTTCTTTTTTGTATATATATTACTGCTAGGGCACCATGTTTTACACCAATATCTTTTCCACACCATGTGATGTCGGAGTATTTTTCACCATGAAATAAATCACTAATATATATCCATTTAAATATTGTGATCTTCATTTTAAAGTTTTTATTGTTTATTATTTCTCTTGCTTTATAAAACATGGTGTAAGATATATAGTATACAACTAATATTATTGTTTTCTTTCATTAAAATCCTTATTCTTATTAGATCTAAACACGTGTGATCTCACGAACCAACTTAACTTACAAGTAGGATTGTTGGTCACTCTTCCATCGAGACCTATAATTTTTTTTATTCACATGTTTTTTTCTTTGGTAAAAGGTCATCTTCTTAACTTGAAAGCCAGAAGCTACACGTAAAATGAGACGCAACGACAAGGCCCAGGAAAACGATCTACAAAGACCCAGACATCCAAGATAAATATAACAACACCAAGACAAGCCTAAACAAAGCCAGGAAAAACAAGGCCGAAAAAAAAAGAAGAAAAAAGCATACACAAGAACAAACCAGCCATATAGATACAATTGGTCCTCACATGTTTTTAATGTACATTATTTAATTCCCAAGTTCCTATAGCAGCCACAAATATCTTTTTCGTTTTTATTAATTGTTTTCTTTTGGATAGATCTTTATTTATCTTTTTATCTATTTTTTAAGTGATATTTATGCTTTTTTTTTACCGTGGTAATTCTACTATCCAACTTATATATATTCGGCTCTTTTTTAGGCCAATAAATATTTTACTTATAGAGTGATGCTACAGAATGACGCATGACGCAGGCGGATTGGATGTTGCAAGCTGGTTCACCACATGGTGGCTGACTGTTAGCTCAGATTGGCTTAGCTAATGCTTGAATCTGACTCAACTTGGTGGTTGTTTTAGTGAATTGAATGAATGGCTTTCATGGCTTTTTGTATTACTTTTTTAAATATGCAAATAAATAATCTAAAATTAGACATTTTTTAATTAAAATTTTTGGGTACAAGAAGTATATGTGAGCCAGATTGCAAAGAAGTTATTAATTCTTCATTAAATTCAAACCCTTTTTTTTTTTTTTAAGTCACATTTTATGTATCAGCTGCAGGCTAATTCAAGATGTCTTACACAATCCTGTTTCGATGAATACTTTGCCAAAAGAGTCATTCATGTATTTAAGTCTCATAGCACGTCTGAGGTGCCTTTTTCTAATTTAATGTTATGCTCATTATTATTTTAGATAATTTAGTTTTTCTCTCTTTTGGAGTTTTTATTTATTTATTCATTTTACATATCAGCATGCTAGCTATCTTTCTAAACGTGGTCGAAAGTATCTAGAGGATAGCACACAATCAGGTAGTGTTGAGGACAGCCATCTGACCTTAGCATCTTCCAAGAGAGATCTGCGAATTGGTAAAACTGCAGAGCGCCAAAACACTGGGGAGCAAGAAATTACTGTGGGGAGAAAACGAGCTGTCTCTCCAAATGCTCCAGTATCAGTTCAATTGCATGAGTGTTCTAAAAAAGATCGCCACATTGATATATCTGAAAAATTAGGACTAAGTTCAGAGAAAGAACAACTTTTATCCTCTAGTGGCTCTGTGCCTGTAAAACCTTCTCTAGCTGGATCACATGTTTCAACCCAAAATCCTAAAAGGAGTTCTGCTTCTTTGAAAGAAAGTATTGGGGTGAGTAGCAGTGGCAGTGCTGAGTATTCTAAAGCCAACCAAACCAATGTCAAGGCCCCTTGCAGCTTGGAAGTAAATATGAAAACTCTGGATGTACTTTGAAATTTCTTTATATCTTCCATGACAGTTTCCTAAGTAATAATGTATTTTGAATTATGTAGGAAACTAGTAGTAAGGGGGAGGCATTGATTGGAACTCGAATCAAATTGTTATCTCCAATTGATAGATGGTGAGGATTTTCTCTTGGCAAAATAATACATGGGGAATCATTTGTAATCTGTCTATCTAACATTATCTTGTCCTTTTCCTTTTCCAGTTTTCACTCTGGCACTGTGGATGGTTATAACCCCGAAAACAATAAACACAAGGTGAGTGAATGTAATATGTACAATTGGATAGGATTCTATACTCCATTGTCAATCAGAATTTCTTTTTTTCTTTTATGTTTATATTATTCTTACTTTTATTTTTGTTTCTAGTTTTTGTAACTATGTGAAGACTCATGGGTCTCTTCTTTATCTGAACATCAGTTTTCTTGCTTGATCTTCGTGTGGTTTGGTCTTCTTATTCTGACCTCATATATGTTTTTTCCTGCGAAGAAAACTACATTTTCAACAAGCATGAATTCATATAGCAGTTTTGTGTATTTGAAGCTGTAGAGTATGTGGACACTTTTGAATCTTTTGATTTGGCTGACTATGGTGAAAAGCTTAATAATGTGAAACTTGAGATTCAAACATACAGATGGAAAGTCGACTTTGGAATAAAGATTGTGGATCATATGTTTTGTTTCCCGATTTTATGTAATAGTAAAATGACTCTTTTGTTTGGAAGAAATTAGTTTACCTATGCTTGCTGTGATTCTTGTTACCACTTAATTAATGAGTTCATGCTTTGCGAGAAAATGACTCTTTTGTTTGGAATAAAGATAATTTTATGTTTTGGATCAATTGGACAGATTGCATGCGACAATGGAGCTGTTGAACTAGTATGCTTGGACAGCGAGAGCTGGGAGACTCTAAGTGATGATTCCCAACTGGAAAGGGTAAGATGAAAATATGAAAGATCCTGAATTGGTATATACTTGTGGTCCTTGATCCACGTTATATGATTGTGATACCACACTGCAGTGTTGGAAGCTATAGCTGAGTTAGAAAAAGAATCTGTTTTCAACTAACTTTCAATTTTATTTGTATTAGTTTGAGAGCTAATAAAACCAAAATCTTAGAAACTACCCATCTTTGTCGCAGCATTCTGGCTACAACTAACGTGCATTCCTTTGATATTTCAATATTTCTAAACAGAAGATGAAACTAGAAAACTCCAATTTTCTCATGGCAGTTGGAAAACACCACTATGTGGAATGTGAAAAACATTACTTTGCTTTAATTTTGTGAACCTAACGTTCCAGTTTAGCGCTTTCTTCTACCACTTTATGAGTTGGCATCCATACCAGTTCCAAGGATTTCTGCTTGTTCATTAAGTCCTCATGGCTGTGTTGTTGTTTTTTTGTTTTTTGTTTTTTTGCTTTTATTTTATTTTATTTTTAGAGGGTTACGTTGGCAGAGCATTCAAATGGCATCGATTTGCAGCACCGGTGAGTTGCTAATATATAACTTTGTCATGTCTTCTTATTCAACTATTTAATATGTGCGGTTACTCTTTTTTTACTGTGCCGTTGCTCAAAATATCCCTAAAGTAACATCTCAAATTTGATGTTCTATTTCATGGCCTTGACATGGTTTATATTGCCGTTCAATGGATCTGTACCATAGACATGGGTGGTTTCCCTTGTGTGAAGCGTGGGTAGGGATCCTGCCCCGTCAACTTTTCTTTCCCTAATGTTCTTTATACTGTTTACACTTAATGTATTAGCTTGGGGAAACTTGTGGATTGTTTCATTAACTTTTTTTTTTACTTAAATTTAATTTCCGATAGAAAGTTGTTCTGATTTTTCAAATGGTTGTGATAGGATGTTTGCAGTTTTATATGCCAGTTATTATGTTAACATAACATGTCGTCTAGTTACTGCTTGGCAAGCACAAGTAATTAGCCTTACTTTGACTGGCCTGTTACATGTAACTGGTATGAACACAATATGCATAGATTGACACGCTTTAAAGTCTTAGGGCCTGTTTAGAAGGTATACTCAAATCATGATTCTTAATTCTGAAGTTTGAAATTCAAATTTTTTGTTGGAGGAAAGCATTGCAGCAAAATCAATGATTTGAGTTTGAGTATATGAAATATACGGGCCCTTAACTTATTCGATTGCCCTTTTTTAATTTAAAAAGCTATAGTTTAAGTAATTTAAATGTGAACCAAGGGTCCGATACTGCAGACTAGAAAAATGAAAGGAAAAAAATAGATCTATATAAAACCAAAATCATGAATATGCAAAGACCATGAAGTAAATTCTTTTGTTTTTTTTTTTAATATTTATTTCTTATTTATTGAATGGGACATTGGCAGATAATAGCGGTAACTTCTGTGTTATAGTATGAATTTTGTGAGTGTTTGTTTGTCAAATTATTTTTTAATTGCATTTTATTACTCAGGAAAGCATTTGTTCCTCTTGCTTTACACGTTTCAGTTGTCTTCGGCATCATATTTCTATGATATTATTTTGTTTTCATTCTATTTGAAATCTTTGCTAATATAGACAATCAAATTCAACACTTTGCTTTATAGTTTCTGGGACAGCGTTGGGTTTATGAGCATTTTTTTTTCTTACTCGCTTCATATCGACTTATCAGGCCATACTTTACTAATATGGGAGCCTCTTTCTTTCAGTGGTAGAAAGAAAACTGCTGATACATTCGGTAAAAATGTTGCTCAAAAGTCGAAACGTTTAGCAAATAAGGAGAATGGTAAGTTTCCAACAGAATGATTCTATAGCCTGACTGTTGCATTTCTAGCACGTATATTTCAACGCATATGGTCTTGGATGACACACACACACAGAGACACGTAGAAGAGGCCTCATATAGTTGTCAATTATTTATTTCAAAAAGATGATTGCAAAACATAAATAGGTACTGAATGATAGTCGGGACTTGCATTGGGCCTTAACAACTCTTGTTGGTAGTGAACCAGAATTGACGTGTAGTCATTTGTGAAACAAGTATAACTACCAAGAAAACAGAGAGGACAACAACTCCAAGCAGTACACAACAGCAAGAACTATACTACCAGTTTCTAATACAACGTAAAAAGAAAATAGGAGTGCCCTATAAAAAATTCTTCAGTTAAACTACACCCACTTTCACAGCACTTTTCCTTTCTTACTATCTTGATGTCCGTCTTCAAATATCCTTCTGTACCCACCCAAGTACATAAAACGGATCTAACCCCACCCACCACCACAGCACTCTACGTTCTTTCCACAACTCAAGTTGTAAAGTGAATCTTATGTGAGAAAATTCTGTAATAAATTGTTAAATTTGAATTTTTACGAGAGAAAACACTAGCAAAAAAGTCTTGAGTTGTGATTCGAATTGTGAAAAGACTTGGACTTTCTGAATCATGACCAATAAGGAAGGCACATTGTAGTAAAAATGTTAAATTTGAATTTTTATGAGAGAAAATACTAGTAAAAAAGTCTGAGTTGTGATTCGAATTGTGAAAAGACTTGAACTTTCTGAATCATGACCAATAAGGTAGGCAGTTTGGAGGAAGAGCCCACATAAAGTCGGTCTCACTGACCATCTGCCACTACAAATTTAAAACAACTTCTTTGAGTAATCAAGTAATTGATATCCTCTCCATCATTCTTACCCCCTCTTGTTTCTTGCGAAATTTTATCGGCAAGGACGCTTCTGATTTAGCACCATTGTTTTCTTTGTTGCACGGGGGCGGTTTGGAACTTCTTTTGTAGTGATAAAGATTTTTTTGGTCTTTGATTCTTCATTGAATCATTAAATCTCTTTCTACTGAATCATTAAATCTTTTATATTGATAAGGATTTTCTTCCTAACTTAATGGTTTATGGGTGCAGAATCGACCAAAAAAAGGCAGAAAGCTTAAGATAATTTTGGATTTTGTGGATAAATTGGCTCTTTCAGTGGAAACCTTACTTTGTGGCCATAACGTGGTCTTGACGCGCAGAAATTGTTTTTTGAGAAGAATACCAAGTCACGTATTTGATCTTGTTTATCTTTCAAAATATAGATTCTATATGTGCCACTGTGCTTATTCAGAATCTATGTGGGTGTGTGTGTGTGTGTGTGTGTGTATATATATATATATATATTAATATATGTATATTTTTCGCCCCTTACCATGACTTTTGGTGATACGAGATTAAGTGTTGGAAGAAACTTTTTGTTCGAAAACAGTAGCTTAGCTGTAAAGAGAAATTTAGCACGAATGCACGTGGTTATCATCATTCAATCTCTCTCTCTCTCTCTATCTATATATATATATATACTTGTTTCTCATTGTTAATGTCTTTTTTCGTTTTACATGTATTTTTTTAAGAGAAAATTTTGTAGTGAATCATGAATCATGGCATGAATCCCCTTTCTAAACATCCTGTCGTGTTGGAAGAAACTTTTTGTTCGAAAACTGTAGCTTAGCTGTAAAGAAATTTAGCACACGATTCGTGGTTATCATCATTCAATATATATCTTTTTGTTCAAAACTGTAGCTTAGCTGTAAAGAAATTTAGCACACGATTCGTGGTTATCATCATTCAAAATATATATATATATATATATATTTTTTTTTTTTTTGTTTCTGATTGTTAATGTCCTTTCTCACGGAAGGTTTACTTTGTTTTTCTTATTTCAGGTCTCTAGAAGAACTCGGAGCCAAAAGGTGTAGATAATACTTGTCTTTCTATTTTATTTACCCCTTGTTGATTGGTATTGGGGATTAACAAAACCAAAATCTGTAACTTAGCAGGACTCAAAATTCTTTAATGCTTGGCTACATATAGAAAGCCCCAAGAAATTATGGAGCACCCACATTGGCCTTCTGTAAATTATGCTCATTAATTGAGTGGTTATAAATCATGCTCATTAATTGAGTGGTTATAAATCATGCTCATTTCCAATTCATTATCTGATTCATGAATTTAAAGACTGGAGCAGATTTTCTCGTGCAAGATACACTTTAAATTTATAATTGTGTTTCCTTGTTCATCTGCGACAATATACTTTCAGCCGATACATTATCTCCAAACTTTCTCGTAATTGTAAAATAAAGTTAGCCACTCAAAATGATTTTGGATTAATCTTTTGCTCCAGTCGTTTTGGGAGCATGAAAATGTATTATCGCCTTGTGATTACAGTAGTATATTGTTCAATAAAGTAGATAAAGATTTACTGTTTACATGAAAGACATTGTAAGTGTTTTTCCTTTTAACGTTTTTGCTTTTCTGTTTTGCCTTTATTTATTTATTTATCTTGTTACGAGTACGCAAAAGACAAGGTGCTGAAGACATTGTAAAGCGGCAGCAAGAAAAACGTGTATGTGAAATAATGACACTTTAAAGGGCTTGTTCTTGAGTTCATGAAGAGCATTTTTATTTATTCTCATGGGTTAAAATCCAATTATTTTCGTAATGTGAATCTTATTTCCTTTGACAAAAATGTTTACCATAGCATTCATATCCTTTCATAGTAATCTTAATAGTAGGGGTGACAATTCGTGTCACGTGTCGTGTTCGTGTCGTGTTTTGATCGTTTCTTTTTAAATTTACAGTCAATCCGAATACGACCCGTGACACGAAATTTTTTAAAAACCGCAACACGAACACGACACGACCACTTTACAAGTTGACACGACACGACCCGAAATGACTCGTGACACGAAATTGACCCGTGAACCCGAAATTGACACAAAAATTGTATACTTTTATTTAGTTTTTTACATATTAAAAATAACTTAAAATTCATAACCCACTAAATTACAATAACATCCATTGAAATTAAGCAAATAATAATATAAGATTTTGAGTATAACTATCATGATATCACAAGTTTATAATAAAATTTAAAATATGCAATGAAAAATATATGTATTTTTTAGTTTTTTACGAGTTTCGTGTCGTGTTCGGGTTAGGCGGGTCCAACCCGAAATTGACCAGTGTTTTTCGTGTCAATTTCAGGTCGACCCAATTCTGACCCGAACCTCTTTTTTCTCAACCCTAACCCGCAAAATTCGTGTCATTTTCGAGTCGTGTTGTCGTGTCGTGACCCATATTGCCGGCACTATTTAATAGAGTCGTGCGATAGACATCATTTTATCTTTTACACAATCTTCCTTGACACCATATGTGGCGGTCTTCTTTACCGCAAAAATAAATTTCAACCCTCTCCGTTAATTAAAAGCTGTACATGGGCCCCATTTTAAATTTAGGTGGCTAAATATTTAAACACATGCATCACATGGTTTATATATGTATACGTACACAATTATGCCCTTTAATTAGATATCAACACCTTCATATATTTTAATTAGGTTCCTCTCATATTATTTATTTATACAATAACTTGTTTCTCATTAAATTATTGCACCCTCTTTTTATCAGCTGATAATATTCTTATGCTTTATGAAATTTGTACATACCGTCTTTTTTATCAGTTAATAATCTTTTCCTTTTTTCATAATAACTTTTAATGCAAAATTATAACTGGAAATGTTGGGATTTTAGATTTCATTGCTAAAAGAAAAAAATAGAAAACAAATGGAAATACAAGCAAAATTGTGTAATCTAAAATTTTATACCTTATCTTAGTCAATAATTGATTTTGATACTTAAAATTAGCAAACTATCATTAAGAAAAGAGGCAGTTTTGAGGGTATTTTGGATATTTTAAGCCAAAATTGTAAGTAAAGTTTTTTATTTTCTTATTTTCCTATTTGATGGGAGTCTTGTTATTTATGGGCTCAAAATCGAGGCTTGATCTTGAAAAGGTATAGGTTTGTGTATCAAACCTAATTTAAAGATACACATTTGATGAGATAAAAAAATAAATGTATAGGTTTTTAGTAATTCTAAAATATAAAGAGAAGCAAAGGTAAATATCCCTTTTTTCTTAATCATGATCGAGACTATAATTAATGCTCCAAATCTAATTGTTATATATATTCCTTAAAAAAAAAAGTTGTTATCTATATTCTATGTTTTCAAAAGCCTATTGAACCAATAGCATTAATTTGTTAAACTTTTTTAAATTTAACTTATCGATTGAAGAAATTATTTAAACACGACGACACTATTATTTATCTGGTTTTAGTTGGGTTCTTTTCTGTATCTAAAATTTGATTAAGCACGAAGTACACTTGTTTGAACAATAATTTTGGGGCAAAATTTCATAATACGATGCAGAAAATTTACTGTAACGTTACATGACGTAAACATAGGAATTAGGATACCAAATGAATAGTCCGTGAGAATTTGTATTCTAGAGGGCTAACCTACCAATTGGTAGGTGGGAGAAATCTCCATGCTAAAAACATGCATAATTGGTACGTAACATTGTGAAAGGTCTATAAATACAAGCTTTGTCATGGACATTTCTACACAAAAATCCCAAAACTAACAAAAAATGGAAGCTATTTCTTTAGTTACAGTGTTCCTCCTTTTCCTCTCCTTCACAACAAGAGGAGTCTCCGCCAGGCCCAGCCTTGGCGTTCTCCCTCCTGCAGTCGTTGATAGCTCGGGAAACGAACTCCTAAAGGGCAAATACTATGATTTGTTGGCTTGGCCTAATGCTCCAATTGCAACACTGTACGTCTCCACCATTTCACCACTCGTAGAAAGAATTTACGATTCAACACAAAATCGAAGTATTTACGATCGCGAAGTCTATTCCAGTAAAATTCTCCCCTATCCTACCCGACCAAGACGAAGTTATCCGAGAGTCCACATTTCTCAACATC